CCCCAAAACCCCAAAACCCCAAAACCCCAAAACCCCTACATTCAAAAATTAAATTGTTAAGAAGAAAAATGGATTTTAACAGTAAATACCTTCCAGCTTGCCAGCCCAGACATAGTCAGCCTCAGCCACACGTGCAACTGAAGCCTAAAGGAGAAGACGAGTTTGACCTAGGTAAGTACTCCCTTGACTAGATTACAGCAATTCCTGAACCTGACTCTGAGACTGAGCTTGAAGCCTCCCTGTGCAGTAATTGAGATATAAGCGAAGTCAGCCAGAAACGTTCTACAGATACAACTTGTGCTAGCAGAAGAAACAAGTCTTTTGCTGGTACAAAAGGAAATGGAGATAATGAGGCTTTACTCTATAAAAACGATACTGAGCGGGGTTTACACTGGTAATTATTTTTTATTAAGAGAGTTAATTGGTTGGTCGATGAGAGATCTTTTATTTTTGTTATTTTCACTATTAATCACTAAAGGTATATCTGGATTACCTAAAATCCACTCAGAGTGATAACCTATGCAAAAATATCCTCTTATCATGATCTACACTTTAAAATTTAGGAGCTATTGCTTTCTCATTAAGTGTATATAAATACTACTAATTCTGCCATCTCATACAAGCTTAAACGGTCTTCTTGTATTTTAGAGCTATAATCAAGCTATTATCTTATGAGTGCCAGAATTCTAGGCTTCAAATATTCTACACTTTCTTTGGAATACTTCTGAGTAATTATTCTGAAATGATTTTCAAGAAAATTCTCTGGTCTAAGACCATGTATTTACTAGTTCAGCTTGGTTCTTAGTCTTCTGTATCTTAGTAGCGAAAATAATTACAGCTGATCTTAAAATTATCTCCTTCTCTGAGCAATAAATTATCTACTTGAGCCTTCATACAAACTTTTGTTCTAATCTTCATTCTGGATTAGTTATCATGCTAAGCTTTACTTGGTATATTGTTAGCCTATAGTCATTGCAAGAATCTAACAGTCAAGAATTTATATTTTCATAAAAATGAGACACTTTTAGCTAAATTCTTCAAATAAAAATGACAGTTAAAATATCATTTTCAAAAATTTGAATATTCTATAGATCTCTAAGGAATGCAGTAAAAACTACTACAACTGAGTCAGTATGATGCTGATCGGAAAGGATGAAGAGAAGGCATTCCAGCATTGTTGAAGGAGAAGATTATGCACAATTAAAGGCTCTTGAGAAAAGTCTTGAAGATTTTGACACTTTTTCTCCAGTTGTCCTTCATGGTAAGAGTTCAATTGCTATTATTTTTACATATTAAAATAAATCAAGGAGATATTTCTAATCTTTTGAGTTGGTTTAAAATTTTATCATTAGGAAACCATCCCGAAGAAGGTTTGATAAGTTCAAGATATGATGAATCAGACGAACCTGACTCAGCAGAGATTCATAACTATCCTTCTCAAACTCCACCGAAGAAGACTCCTGATCGATCTCCATCTAAAATGCACATGAAGCTTAATTATGAAGACAACAATGGGTTTCATGAGCTCTCCAGCATATATGAAAAAACAGAGGAAGAGCTCTGCACACCAGATTGTGAATTTAAACTGAACTACAGCAATCTTCAAGACTACAAATAAAGCAAGAAAGGAAAGAGATAATAAGCGGTTCCATACCTTAAAAAGCAACCTAAACAACCATCCTGAGTTTTACAGTAAGAAGCCTGGTAAAAAGCGGAACTCACAACAAAGGAAGATCTCAAAGAAGCGAGCAGACTGCATTTCTCAGCGCCTTTACAAAAGTCGTGAGTGTAGTCTTGAAAGGAAGTTAAAGAATTCTAAATCTTTCAAAGAAATCAATGAGCAGTCTCAGGCAAAACAAAGTTTAGACTCAATATCCAAAAATATCTTTAAAAATAAGAGAAAGTCTTTGGTGAAGGATTACAAACTTCCTGTCTACACTACAAAGCAGAGGAACCCAAAGCCGAAGAGAAAGAGTGTATCAAAGCAAAAGGAATACCTTAGCGGGAATAAGATTCTGAGCTCTCATAAACCTCTAAAGAATAAGCAGAAAGCGAAGCAAAAGAAATTAATACATAAGAAGATGTTACTAGAGAAGTTAAAGCTTCAAGCTTTAAAGCTTGAAAGTGAGATTAGGAATGAAGCACTCGAACTTAAATCAATGAGCCCTGAGATTAATGCAGTGTCTTCAAAAGCACAGAGATATAAACTCTCTCCGGAGTTCGCCAAATCTCGTCATCTCAGAACGGGATCTATGTTGAACCTTAGAAATAGTGTTATTTCGAAAGGAAGAGGAACATCTTCTTTTGTCAGAAGAACCTCCAAGATGACAAGATCTAGTACTATAAGCTCTTTGCAGTTTATTAACATTGCTAGTTCAAACTAGAATACATTCAGAGTCAAGAAATAGAGAAAGTTCTCTAACATTGACTGGTCAATCTCAATCCATGATATTTCAATTAAAATTTCTAGATTGGGGTTTTGGGGTTTTGGGGTTTTGGGGTTTTGGGG